GCTCGTGCACGTGCAGGCTGGACAGTGCCCTTGATGCATTAATTGAAAACGAGAGCAACACTGATGTACACTCTCCAAACACAGCCTGAGAAAGGGAGGCCCTTTCCAGGAGTTGATTTGTGCCTAGCTTCCTCTAGAAGACCGTTGCAAAGGGGGTCCGGATGGTTTTGAGAGACGTTCTCAAATGTCTAACTGCAGGTGCGGCAACCAGATTGGTGCGAAGTTCTGGGAGGTGATTGCGGACGAGCACGGCATTGATCCCACAGGCAAACATGCGTCACATCTATGAGTGGGGACACACTCAAAGAAAGCTGGGCCATTGTGGCAGGGTCCACAAGTTGATTAGGGAGAAGAGTTCCCTAAGTTTTGACCAACAGGGAGAAAGTCTTACTCTCATTATGGTAGAGTCCACTACCCAGAGGGAGAAGAGTTCAAGGCTTCATAAAGCTTTGACCCCTTTGGCTTGCGAACCGTTGGATTTGCCTTGGGTTGGACCCCGCTTCCGTCAAATCAGGCCTTTCTGGGTCAGGGGATGGCTTTTGCAAGACGTTCCATTCGCGCTTCCAGGGGAACTCCGAAAGGGTGGCTCGTCTTGTTTTGATACCTCATGTGTTTTTGGTGGTTTGGAACGGGAACCACCAGCAAAAACCGGGAGACGCCGCCAACAAAGGGTGGGGGTTCCCAAACGCGAAGTTTAGGCGTGGAAGTGCCCAGAAGGCTACATGGGACCGAGTCTTCTCAGTCGGGGTTCTGGGAGCCCTTCTACAAGCGCTATATGCCGTGGGTGTCTGTTCTATGCATTTGGGTCTCAAAAGGAACAAGTTGAAGACCGTCCCGGAAATCGAAGGAAGCCAACCAGTTTCGGAGGTTGCCGATGGTTTCCTTTTTTGCCCGAGAAGCGGTTGAGCTCTCCGAGCGAGCATTGCCAAGCCTGGAGGCACCTACCACGGCGATTCGGACTTGCAGTTGGAGCGGATCCTTGCCACACAGTTGCGACAGTAGGTGTGGATGGAATGGACACGCAGCAGGGGTCCTCGTGTTATTTGTTTTTGAAGGGATGAAGGATTTGTAGTTGAACATCGCCAAAGCACTGCTGGAGTTGTCCTATCAATCCTGGGGTGTGGAGGTGGGCCGCATCAGCTGCGACGGAAACTGCCTGTGTCGTTTGCCGCACGCTTCACAAGGATCAACGTCTACTTCAACGAGGCAACTGGTGGCCGCTATGTGCCCCGTGCCGTGCTGATGGACCTGGACGCTCGGCACGTTTGACGGAGTCAGCTCGCCAGGGAGGGAACTTTTGGGAGCCTTGCCACGGCTCCCTTTCAGCATTGAAGCTGCCCTCAATCGGAGGATTTGTCAGGAGCCCCCAAGAAAGGTAGGTACTGACAATCATGGTTCACACGTTCCTGACGCCCGCATTGGAGCAGCCAGTCATAAGGTGTACCAACGCTGACATTTCTCCTTGTCGGGACTGCGTCCAACCTATGCCGGAGAGATAGGTTGACGCACCAGCAAAGCAGCAACGACGCCCTTACCGAGGAGCCGGGGACCATGGACAGCGTCCGTGCAGGTCCCTTTGGCCAGCTCTTCCGGCCGGATAACTTTGTCTTCGGACAGACCGGTGCTGGCAACAACTGGGCGAAGGCAGGGCCCTGCGTTAAGCGCTGGCTCATGTGTTCATGGCTTCAACGGAACTTTCTTTGGTCAACCGGTGCAATCTTTGAGCATCTAACAGCTTCTGTGAAGCTGCGTTCGGTCTAGTAAGTGATCTTCCCAGGCAGAACAACCAAGTAATTAGCCAATTTCCCACTGGTCACCATGGTCCGAGGTTTGGTTGGGAAACCCAAAAAAGACTGTTGCCAGCTTTCAGGAGCCAATTTTTGTGTCTGATAATTTTTGGGTAAACAAAGGATATTGCCCGAGACGACTTCCTTGTTGGCAGAATGAACTGGCCATTCATATTCCGGTATGTTCTCCGTTTTTTTGGCAGACAACACATGGCAAAAGGCAACTGCGGGGAAGGCATCGGGGTACAACTCGTTTTCCTTCAGCCACTTGAGCACGTAACTTTAAGCACAAACAATGAGGTTGGAGGAGCGCATTTTGTTGGTTGCCAAGGTGTAGGAAGTTGGCTTTACCATCACTTGGTCGCCGATTTGCGATGGGTGAAGTTCGAGGATACCCCCTTCAAACTGGTTGGTTTTCTCTTGGCTGCGCTTAAGAAGCGATCCAATGGGGATACCGAGCCGGGGACTCCTTGGGTGTTTCAAGGGAAACCAAGAAAACCAACAGGGCGTCGAATTCATGGGTTAATCTTTTTTGAGGCTACCTCCTTTTGGTGGCTTTACAGGAAAACCAAGGGGAAGACCACTTTTTGAAAAGACACCCATATGGCAACACCAGGTGGTAAACAGCCTCATGCGAGGATCGGTCCAACTCCCCCTCCAACTTTTGGGCACAAATTCCTGTTGGCCCCATGGAAGCATCAGGGCCACTACACGGAAGGGGCCGAGCTCATCGACTCGGTGCTCGACGTGGTGCGCTGCTCCGGCTATACGTCCCTGTGTTGTTCAGGTTGGTGTTTTTGGAGGGGGAGGTTTCCTTTCGAATCAACCGCCGCACGGTGGCTGGTGTCAATTGTTTTCTTTGTTTTTAAACACCAGACGAAGCTGCGGCCTTGTTTCCATGCCAATCGGGCGAGCAAGCTCTCGTTGGTTTGACCGAATTCATCTTATACCTTGGGTCTCTGGTGTTTGGTGGTGGCCTGGGAGTGTTTTGGTTGCCTTGGAGCTCGTGACACTGCAACTCAGGCAGGTATATTTTCGCATCAGCAGTCATGGTTTCACCTGTCACTGTATCGCACACCAAATGCCTTTGTGACCGGTTTCATATGAGGCAAGGTTGGCTGCAGCCAGGCCTTCCACTCACCCTGAAGGGGTTGGAGAATCTTGCACGTTCGAGGGAAGATAGTGGGACTTCTTTGAAAAGATCCGAGGAAAGGAGGCCGAGGGCTGCGACTGCCTGCAGGGCTTCCAGCTGTGCCATTCCCTTGGTGGCGGCACGGGCGCGGGCATGGGCACCTTGCTGATCTCCAAGGTGCGCGAGGAGCGGCGGTGAAACCCATCCCAAGCCACCAACTAGGGGCAAGACCGGAGCGAGCGGTTTCCGAAAAGTGGTTGCCAATCTTGGTTGAAACGTCCTGCCCGATCAAGGCTGTTTGAACTGTTCCTACCAAGTCTGATTTCATGACGGAAGTTCTTTTAGGCTGGAGTTAGGATCAATGCTAGCGTTGTTGGAATATCTGATCTGCAGACAATCAATGGGTCCAACCCTGAGGAGTATCCCGACAGCCGCTGGTTTTTGCTAGTACTTTTGTTGATGCCCTTGCGACATTGACCTGTTAATTACAACAGCAGTGTTGAATGTCAAGTTGACGAATGGCTAAGGAATCATGGAGACGTTCTCTGTGATTCCCTCGCCCAAAGTGTCCGACACCGTTGTGGAGCCTTACAATGCCGTGCTCAGCTTCCATCAGCTCGTGGAGAACTCTGATGAGTCCTTCCTGCTCGACAACGAGGCAGGTTCTTGCATGACCGGCCGGGCGTTTGACAACAAATACCTCTACACCATGCACATCCAAGTCTGATTTCATGACGGAAGTTCTTTTAGGCTGGAGTTAGGATCAATGCTAGCGTTGTTGGAATATCTGATCTGCAGACAATCAATGGGTCCAACCCTGAGGAGTATCCCGACAGCCGCTGGTTTTTGCTAGTACTTTTGTTGATGCCCTTGCGACATTGACCTGTTAATTACAACAGCAGTGTTGAATGTCAAGTTGACGAATGGCTAAGGAATCATGGAGACGTTCTCTGTGATTCCCTCGCCCAAAGTGTCCGACACCGTTGTGGAGCCTTACAATGCCGTGCTCAGCTTCCATCAGCTCGTGGAGAACTCTGATGAGTCCTTCCTGCTCGACAACGAGGCAGGTTCTTGCATGACCGGCCGGGCGTTTGACAACAAATACCTCTACACCATGCACATCACAAACAGCAGTCCAGTTTGGAATATTGCGGAAGGTTGCACAACTTGTGGTACATGCATCAATTTCGCTGTTGCTGTTGCTGCTGTTGCTGCTGCTGCTGCTGCTGCTCCTCTTCTTTTGTGATTTGTAGATGGTTGGCACTAAGGAATTGATTTCAGTTGAGTTTGGGTGGCTTGTCTTTTTGTTGCATTTCTGCTTTGCGTTTTCAATTGATTTCCGCTTGCTGTTTTTTTTTTTTTTTTTTACCTCGCAAGGCCTTGTACGACATTTGCTTCCGCACGCTGAAGCTGACAACGCCAACTTACGGCGACCTCAACCACTTGGTCTCAGCGGCCATGTCCGGGGTGACTTGTTGTTTGCGCTTCCCCGGACAGCTGAACTGCGACCTGCGCAAGATTGCCGTGAACTTGGTGCCGTTCCCGCGGCTGCACTTCTTCATGACCGGCTTCGCGCCGCTGACCTCCCGCGGGTCGCAGCAGTACCGTGCTCTGACGGTGCCTGAGCTGACTCAGCAGATGTTTGATGCCAAGAACATGATGTGCGCGGCAGATCCCCGTCACGGGCGCTACTTGACGGCCGCAGCGCTGTTCCGAGGCCGCATGTCCACAAAGGAAGTAGATGAGCAGATGCTCAACGTGCAGAACAAGCGTCTTGGCGAGCAGTGATCAGATGGTAGTTGCGGTTTGCTTTACAGATTGGTCATAGAATATGTTCAACGCTGCTTGTGACGGCATCATGAAGCATGTGTAACGCGGCATGGAGCGCTTGCATGTCGCCGCAAGGAACTCGTCCTACTTTGTGGAGTGGATCCCGAACAACATCAAGGCATCGGTCTGCGACATCCCGCCGAAGGGCTTGAAGATGGCGGTCTCCTTTGCCGGGAATTCCACCGCCATCCAGGAGATGTTCAAGAGGGTTGCGGAGTACTTCACCGCTATGTTCCGCCGCAAGGCATTCCTGCACTGGTACACCGGCGAGGGCATGGATGAGATGGAATTCACAGAGGCCGAGTCCAACATGAACGACCTGGTCTCTGAGTACCAGCAGTACCAGGATGCCACAGCGGAGGAGGAAGGTGAATTCGATGAAGAGGAGGGCGAATACGATGGCTAGAGCCAGACTGTTTCCACCACATTTGCTCGGACGGGCCCGTGTTGAAAGCATCACGGTGTCCCACTGAGCAGCTTGGCGCACTTTCAAGAAACGCGTCTTGAAGGTAAACGCCGGGCAAATGAGGGAATCAACAAGGTGAGTTGGCTGGTGGGTAGGCGAGCTAAGTTTGACAGAGCCAGGGCGAGGTTGGCTTGTCTCCAAACGAGGGAACCCCTGGGTTTGGGTGCTCGGATGGTCTTCGCTTGCTTGGTGGCTTTAGGCCCACTTTCAAATGTGAAGCTTCACAATTCTTTCTTTGTTCATCCTTTGGTTCTGTTCCCTTTTGGATGTGGCAGGGATGTCGACTAAGCTTGTGCCGAATGGGCCATGTTTCACTGATTTATCTCAAACAGACTTGTCCAAAACCGCTGTCTTCGATCAGCGGTGGCTGCAACCAAACGTAAAGTTTGAACTTTTTGAGCCAGTGGTGTTTGAACCAGCACATCTTGCGCAATGTTTGGGTTGGAACATATGTGCTGACCTTCCATTGCACACCACGTGCTGGTCCCATAATTTTGTTTGTTTCTAGGGCTCTCAAAGTAATTTCGCCTTAGACTCTTAAACGCACCACTTGCAGGCTGACTTGGACCATGGTTAAAACAAACAAAACATGAGTTACCAGATGGACGGGGACACCAAGTGTGGCCTGGCTTGAAGTTCGCTCACTTCGTGGACCGTCCGCTCATTTCACAAAACGCTCGCGATGAGCCTTGGTACAATTTCCAACAACCCAAACGATCCTTTTCGTTCACGACCAAACTTGCGTGTCTTCTTCTTTTCTGCCGCAAAGCTGTGGCTCAAGCCTTTGTTCCTCTCATCAGTGCTTCCCTAGCCTTCGTTACCCAAGATGCGTGAGCTCGTGCACGTGCAGGGTGGACAGTGCCTTTGCTGCTAGTGGCACATGCAACATGCCTCGCTGTGCACGAGACTATAGTGTTTGTCTGATACCCTCCTGAAAGATGACTATCCTCTCAAAGGAACACAGACATGAGGCTACATGCTATGAATTTGCCAATCCCAGCTGGACCACTTCCAGAAGTTGATTCCTTTTTTGGTTCTGGCACGCATGCTTCTTTCATTGGCTTGCACAGGTGCGGCAATCAGATTGGCGCAAAGTTCTGGGAGGTGATTGCGGACGAGCACGGCATTGACCCCACAGGCAAATATTTGTCCATGGCAGTTGTTGGGATCCCCACCAAGCTGGCCATTGTTTATCAGAACTGTGCCCAGTTTCACGGGTGCCCAACCAGACGTCATGTTTCCCGCGGTCAAAGGATCAAGTTTTCCGGAAGTCATCCACTCGGGAGGTTCGCAGAGCCACAGTGGCTACCAGCACCTCACCCCCAACCCCCCGCCTCCCAAGGACCACACGCAAACCTTGCTAAGGGAGGGGAGCCATGAGAAATTGGGGAGAGAGGGGCTTTCTATCAAGAGAGCTGGGCTACATTTCGGATCGTGTTTTTGGCATGGCACGCTTTTGGTCTTTCAAAGGGAAAAGCCAGCAAGCCAACCGGCTTTGGGTGTCTATTGCTGCCCTCAGCCCTTGTTGCAATCGACACACAACCTCAGGCACCTACCACGGCGATTCTGACTTGCAGTTGGAGCGGAACCTCGCCTTGGAAAAGCGCTTTCAAAAAGGTCCCACAAGTTGTGTACTTAGGGTACCATTTTTGATGTCCGAAGGTGCTTGATGATTACCACCCGCGTGTTTTCTGAGGGTTCCTCTTTTGTGGGGTTGAATGGGACACCAAAAGGAAGCAGCTTTTGTTCTTTGTTGTCAATTTTTGTTGGACACCCACATGTCTTTTCCTGTTGACTTTCATTGATGCCGACTGGCTGTGCAGACCTGCTGGAACCGTGTGAAGGTCAGTGCAATGGCTTCAGTCAGGGGCCCTTGCATTTACTTATGAGTGTCCTTTTCGAAGGATAAGACATTGTGCTCGTTCCCGCTTTAACTTGTCCGTGGCTGCGGCAGGATTGCACGGTTTACAAATCTACAGGTGCCATGGGCTTGTTGCATTCTGCGATGTTTTGCAAAGGAACGAGCCATGACTTTTTGCTAGCTTTGAATTGCACTGGCGTGTGTGCCCGGAGGGGGGGGGCACTTTGGTCGAAGGCGTTGGCGGACCTACAACCTTATTTCCCCACTTGTTCGCGTGTTCTTTGGCTTCTTTGTCGTTTTGTTCAGCGCCAAGAAACCAGGGTCTGGAAAGCCCCGGCACTGCAACTGCTGCCTGCCAAACCCAGTTTCCAGCCAAACTTCGCGCTGCTTCAGGGACAAGCGTTGTGTTTGTACAGTCCCCCAA